AACTTCCTTATTGTTGAGTGCAGACCTTTTATAAACAGTTAAGGAATATTTATTCTGTCTCAATAGAGATATACCACCTCTGTCTTTCTATAATCGAACTAGTTTTTTAAATTATTTGAAAGAATAATCAAGAATAGGACACATTTTGCCTTAATTTTCAGTCTTCCTTGATTTTATAAGCTAGCCGTCACTGACAGTCTGCATCAGTAGGCCACCGACGTAGGCAGTAGTACTGCGCGGGCAGCCACAGAGCAGGCTCTGTGACTGAAGTAAGGCCAAGAAGCGCATCTAGCATCAGCAATGCTTTTTTTTTTATTCCGTGGTTTTGGTTTTATAACTTTATATATTTTTGCAGGCTAAAGATATTTTTATAAATAATGCATAACTTTTTTGCCCCTCAAACTCACCTACTCTATATTTTTAAAATTCCAGCGGAGCTATTGGTGTATTCCAGACGAATTCTGAGGTTATAATTATGGTACATAATCCGGCAGTATTCAAACCATAAATCTGAGTTTAATCTATTTCTTTTTTGCCCTATTTTTTCTAACATAGTGATTCTAATTACCACATGAAAAGATCATTAAAGCGACGTATTTTACACCTTTTAACTTGTAGATTTTTACCCAATTAGAAGCAATTCTGTTCCAGACTTTCAAAATGAAGGAATTCTTTGAGGTTAATTTAATAAATATATCTTGATTTGATACCTCAAGGTTTCTTCAAGCTAGATAGAAACTTAACTGAGGAGCCAAATACTTTCCTAAAATGACTTAAGATTTAAATTGCATAGATATTTTCTCATAAAAATATCAATTTTATCTAAGATAATAATCAGATATAAAAAGGGGAGGGAACTTTTTAATGTACAGGTATGTTTAAAAACATGCATTCCCCAAGATTCTTTCAGTTTAAAGTGGTAGATGATCTTCAAGTTAGCTTAGGGTTTATAGTAGGGTTTATAGGAAGGACACTGGGTCAGCTCATCTCCTCAAAGGGAGGTTTAACAACAGGAAAGGCAGGAATGGGCTTCCAGAGCACGTGGCAGCAACAGCAAGACCCTTCAGAACGCTCTCTCCCCCTCTTACTGCTTTCTTCATGACGACTGCTGATGTTTTCCAAGTTGAACACCTTTGGCTTTTACTATTGACTCCTTCTTACTAAATTACAACTTGAACACATCTGATTGGCCTAGATTGAGTCTGATATTGTACCTTGGAGTAATTGTTCAATCTGTCCCCGGTTTGATTCCTGGTCAGGGCACATGCCTGGGTTGCAGGCTTGATCCCCAGTTGGGGGCTTGCAGGAGGCAGCTGATTGATGATTCTCTCACATTGATGTTTTCATCTCTCTCTCCCTCTCCCTACCTCTCTCTATGTATAAAAAAATCAATATAAACATATTTATAAAAAAATAATACCAACGATTATGATTATGATAATCCATACCATATTCATGAGAGATTTCTATGGTACAATTAACAGGAAACTTAGTTCAACCTGGTTTAAACATAAAAGGACAATTTATTGGCTTTACTTCTGGAAGAGCTCAAAGCGGAGTGGTCCTCAAATCTGCTTAATCTAGCTTTTTGATTGTGTCATCAGATATTCTCCTTTTTCTATTCTCACTCTGTGCTCCTCAGTGCAAACCGCAGCCCCAGGCTGACTCCTCTCCTGGCTGAGGGACAGCCCCTCACAGGGAGGGCTGTGTGCTCCTCAGGCAACCGTCCAAGTGGCGTGCTGCAGTTGGCTCACACCATCGTGCAGTAGGCAACACTTCTCTCTTCAAATTTCTGCATTTAATGATCTCATTTTGGTAGCTTGCAATTGGCTATGGGGAGAATATTTATACCATGGAAATTGGCAAATGCTATAAATCCAGGCTTTTTTTTTTTTTTTACTTCAGAGAACTAATTTTTATATTTGCAAGCACACTACTGTTTTTTTTCAGATTCCAAACAAGGGTCTTGAAATATCCTCAGATTGAATTTGCTTAGGTCACATGTCCCCCTTGAAGGAAAATCTATGGCCAGGGGACTTGAAATTAAAAAGTAAATGTATATCATAATCTATTTAATTTATGAGAGTGTTCTGACAGCAAACAGGCAGTCTGATTTTGGAGTCCACCATGTCAAGCATGCAATTATATAAAACATTGTAATGTAGTTTGGGCCAGTTCCGATGGGGAATCTATGAGTAGGTAAAGTTTGTGTGTGAGGTGGGGTGGAGGGGTTAGACATATGTTCAACTTAACATCTATATTAAGTAAAAGCATTTTTTTTAATTGTTGTTTGTCAATGGGAACATAAAAAGTATACTACTTCATCAGTCATCAGAGCAATGTAAATGAAATATCACAATGAAGTTCCATTTTACACACACCAGAATGGCCGAAATTAAAGACTGACCATACCAAGTATTGATGAGCATGCAGAGCAACTGGAAGTCTCGTGCATTCCTGATGAGAATGTATATGGATATAGCTGGGAGAATTGATTGGCAGTTTCTTACAGAATTAAATACACACCTACTTATGACCCAGCAATTTCATGCCTAGATATTTACCCAAGGGACTTAAAAACATATGATCATGCTAGTATCCAGAATGTGAAAGAACAACTCAGTGATAAAAGGCATATAACCAAATTTTAAAATGATAAAGAATCGAAATAGACATTGTTTCAAAGAAGATACAGGAATGGCCAAGGGTACATGCAAGTCTCTCAGCATAACTAGTCCAGGGAAATGCAAATCAAAAGCACAGTGAGCTACCACTTCATAACCACAGGGCTGGCTCTAATAAAAAAGACAGACATCCATAGTGTTGGTGATTATGTGGGAAATCAGAACCCTCGTGCATTTCTAGTGGTCTGGTAAAATGGTACAGCCTCTTTGGAAAACAGTCTGATAGTTCCTCAGAATATTAAACATAGAGTTCCCATGAGTCAGCAATTCCACTTCTACTTATATACCCAAGAAAATTGAAAACATATATCCATACAAAACCTTGTACATGAATGTTCATAGCCATGTCATTCATAAAAGCCAAAAGGTAGAAACAACTCCAATGTCCATCAACTGGTGAATGGATAAACAAAACGTGGTCTATATATGCAATGGAATACCATCCTGCCTTGGACGTAATGAAGTATTGACCTATCCTACAGCATGAATGAACTCCAGAAATGTTGTGTTAAGTAAAAGCAGCCAGTCACAAAAGGCCACATATGTGAAATGTCCAGAGTAGACAAATCCATAGAGACTGAAAGTAGGTTAGTAGTTGGCTGCCTAGGGTGGGAGAGCAGTAAGCAGGGAGGGGCAAGGAGGGAGTTATTTTTCATGGGTACAGGGTTTCTCTATGGGGTGATGAAAATGTAGGTTTGGGGAAATGTCAACTATCATAGGGCCATTGGAGAAACCTGAAAAAAAAAAAAAAAAACTAACCTTTACTACCAGTAACTCGACTTCTAAAAATGTATTGTAATGAAATAGTGAGAAACTTCCATAAATATTTATGCACAGAATCTTTGTTTCAAGAAAAAGTGGAAAAGAGCCTTGGCCGGTTTGGCTCAGCGGTTAGAGCGTCGGCCTGTGGTTCAGAGAGACCTGGGTTCGGTTTCCGCTAAGGGTGCGTACCTCGGTTGCAGATTGTCCCCGGCCCTGGATGGGTTGTGCGGGTGGCAACCACTCAAGGTGTCCCTTTCACGTCGATGTTTCTCTCTCTCTCTCCTTCCCACTCTATCTGAACAAAAAATGGAAAAATGTCCTCGGGTGAGGATAAAAAAAAAGGTGGAAAAGATAAAATTATCAAGCATGGGAGATTCATTAAATATGGTATGATGCATCTATATTGTTAGAATTTGCTATATCCATTAAATTCATTGTTTTGGAAGAATATTTAATCACATAAAAATGCACGTGTTGTGTTATTTTATGTTAATAAAATTATGTTGTGAAAGAGCATGTTCAGTGTGATCCCAATGAATGTTAATGGTGTAATTCAAATATCAAAATGACTGCATGAGTTGTGGTAATAAAAGACTATCATTTTTGTTTATTCTGTTTTTTTGGTTTTGGGTTTTTTGTTAATCCTCACCTGATATTTTTCCATTGATTTTTAGATAAAGTGGAAGAGAGGGAGGGAGGGAGAGAAAAACATCAATGTGAGAGAGACACATCAATTGGTTGCCTCCTGCACAACCCCAATGGGATTGAACCTGCAACCCAGGGACACGCACTTGACTGGGAATCAAATCTATGACCTTTCAGTCCAATGGCCGACACTCGAAACACTGAGCCAAACCGGCCAGGGCTATTCTGTTTTATATTTCTCTTTAGGATGGGTTGGAATTTATTTATTTATAATTAGAAAACTAAACAGTGATCTATATTTTACAATCACTGAACTCAAGCTGATATTGTTTGTGTGAACATTTATAACCACTGTTCGAAAAACGTTAATGAACTTCTAGTTATCTCTCTGTGGTAGGAGTTCTTTATCTGCACATAGCCTCGAGTTAAAGCAGGGTTTTTCACTAGCAGCTCTGTGGACCTGTGGGGCCAGGTAACTTTTGTTTTGGCTGGAGGGGGGGGGGGGGGGCTGCCCTGAGCATTGCAGCCTCCCTGGGCTCTGCCCACTCAGCGCCAGCGGCATACCTCAACATGACAGCTCAATACGTCTTCAGATACTATTGAATGTCCCTGGGAGCCCAAATTGTCCCCAGTTTATAATCACCGAATTAAAGAACCATTTGATAACGGAAGGTAATTCCGGGTTATTTCAAAGTGGATGTATGCACTGCGAGGTTCCACCTGTGTGAGAACACCTGTGCTTGTTTGGTCACCAGGGTAAACCTCGCTTCATCAGGAAATCAAATGAGGTGGCGACTTACCATTGCTGTGTAAATTGCATGAATCTTCATTCCATTTTCATTTGAATGTTTACAGCACTGATTGTTTTTGTTGCTTCTGAAAATGCTGGTTGTTCCGTGCTCCCTATAGCTCGCTCAGCCGTAACGGGAAGCTGTGACAGCGACGGTGTGCACATCATCAGGGGTCACAGCGTAGCCTCCACACCCTTTGCTACCATGTGTGGCGACGAGATCCCGTCTCCTGTCACCATCTCTGGTCCAGTGCTGCTTAATTTCTACTCTAACTCACACACCACGGACTTTGGATTCAAGCTTTCTTATCAGATAACCTGTGAGTATCCATCATGTTGTGTGAGATTTTATTTTCTCCGGGAGTAATTTCCATAAGGAGTTTTCATTGTGATTCATGTATCACTAACTTGAAGATTCAAGGGCTTTAAGGATTAAGAATGATCAGTTAGGTTCATGGTCCAGAAATACTTAAGACATTTTTCTCTTTTTTATAAATGAGGAGGTTCTTTTTCATGAACTTTGGCTAGAATTACTCTTTGGAAATCAAATAGAAGGTCGAGATTATTTTGATAATTTAAATTAAAATAAGCATTCCTGCTATCTTTAATTGTTTGTACATTACTTTGTCGTGACGTTTTGGCCTAGACTATCCAGATGCCTGTTTCATTTTCCCAAGTCACTTTGCTAATGTGAAAAACAATACTGTGTAAATTTAGGGAAAAACCTAAGAGAATATCTTTATGACCTTCTGGTAAGATTTTTTTCAACAATATACAAAAAGTGCAAGCCATAAAGGAAAAGGAAAATTGATGTATTTAACCGTTGTCATAATTTGCAGTTTCTCTATGTCAAAGTCAAAGTGAGAAGACAAGTCACAGACTAGGCGAAGGCCTTTGTAGCTACCAGGATCTTTTTATTCTTTAAAGACAACTCAATCTGTGTTTATTTGAAAATCATGAAACTGTTTCCCTATTTGGAATAGCCTTTTCCTCTCCTGCAATAAACTTAGTTAGTTTGCTGACAGTGTTTTTTCCCACTTCATTCATCCCGACTTCGGTGAAAGGGGCACAGAAATCTAACAAAATCTTTGTTTTGTTTTATCTTTACTTGACCAAACCCCTTGCTAAAAGCAGAAAGTTAAATAATTATCTTTCAAATAAATGACTGTTCCCATCCACAGAGAAGACTGAAAATGTTTACTTGCCCATGAAGAAAGGCCTTCACAGTTCATTCATGTGAGCTGCTACCTGAGTCCTGACCCCCATTTGTAAAGTCTTATTGTCTGTAGCTTTGCAGGTCTGTTGGCACAACCAGAATAGGACTGAGCAATGGCCATTCCCCCAGTTGTCTCGTTGAATAAAGGAAAGGATTGATTTGTTTTATTCTTTTGTTACATCTTGCTTTATATTCTTTTAATCTGTAATCCCTCATTTTCCTAAAACACTGTATGCAAATTTCCACATAGCCCCTATGAGAGTCTCATTTAAAGTTTTGTTTATGAGATTTCAAATCCTGACAATGTGCAAATTTGGGAGTTATTTAGGTGTTGATAAGCTTTCAGAGGCCACGTAATTGTGTGCAAGATGAAATGGAGCCATGGCAACACAGGTCTGACATTTAATTCACCACCAACGTCCACAGGGCTGTGAGCACATGAATGCAGACGGAGAATAGCTTCCCCTGCAAACTGGGCTCCACGAGGTGAAATACATCAATAAGTAATAGCCTTAAATGGCAGCCACAACTGGTTTCTCGTTTCTAAGAGATTTAAGTGGAGTATGTCCATTGATAGTTTATAAACCACAGAGATAACATCAAAATCTAACCCGAATCTAATTTTAGAGTCACATAGTAAAAGAGATGTCAACCCTCTCACTGCAATGAAAGAGAGCACTTTCCATCATTCTATGATCCTCCTTAGATGTAAAGCCAAGAAAAAATAATTGTAATTTTATATCTCTTACAGTAGGTTTATTATATTTTTATGGCTGCTGTTTTATTGACTAATAGGAGTAGCTAAGGGCTCCAAGCAGTTGATTGCTGGAGTCAGGGCCTAGTTTCCTCATGCTTGTTGAGTAGCAGTAATAAAAATTTAAGCAAGTATAGTCCTTACCAGTCTCACAACTAAATGGAAATGCAGAGGACCCAAGAGCTATGCATTTGAGCCCTCGCAGGCAACTAAGCTCAAACATTCCAAAAGTGATTTCCAATACTTCACCTTTTCATAGTCAGTCTTGACAGAGGCAACTTGAATCCGTACTCTTGAGGATTTCTAGATAGCAGACCTTCCTGGGTTCATACACACAGAGTGTGCCTTGGATTCTGCACACCTCTCTAAATTTCCAGTTATCAATGCAATCCCTCCAACCTGTGCACCACATGTAGAGAAAGGACCGTTACACCCCAACACGTGAAATCTTGTTTTCTCATTCTTTTCACTCTGGCCATTAAGTTCATGCAGATTTAGTCCATTCCAAGTTGTGCCTTAAAATATTCTTCCCTGCTTCCAGTCCCTTCCTGTCTCCTCCTTCCACCTTGGTCAAAAAATCAGAATTAATTGTAAACACAGTGAATGGGAGCTTTAAGTTGCTTTAAAAAAAATAATTATTATCTCTTCAAGGGGGAAAGGTACAATAGTCAAGATGATCTCAAAGTCGTTTTTCCACGGCGTGAGGACTGACTGTTCTCTGCACATTGTCCTGTCTTCTCTTGCAGCCTGTGGTGGTGTGTTCAACTTCTCCTCTGGACTCATCAGAAGCCCTGCCTATTCGTATTCAGACTATCCTAACGATTTGTACTGTTTGTATAATATCACTGTGAGAGACCACAAAGTGATTCTGCTCAAGTACGTAAGACAAATTCACCTTCTTAAGAAAATCATCTTGGCTCCATTTCCAGCAGGGTTTTCCTTAATACTGGAGAGGACGAGTCTCATCAGATGCATAGAAGGCAGGAAGCAAGAGTGAGGCCCTTGTGTAAACCTGGGAAGAGGGCCTCCTACCCTCCGCACAAGCAACAGTGCATGGTTCAGGGGGGACAACAGGCACCCTGCCTGTTCAAACGACTGTTACAATGTTCTCACAGTTGCAAAGGAGCTTCACATAATGGGTGTAAAGTTTTAAGCCCATCTTGATATCAAAGGGTGTGGAGAGAGTAAGAGGAAAGTTTTTGGTTCTTGGGCAGTTATTATACACAAAAATCATAAACACTTTCCATAATTCTGTTATTTAATTTTTTAAACCGTCATATAAGGTAGATATTATCAACCTCAACTTATTGATGAGAAAACTGAGGGTCCACAAGGTGAAATCACTTCCTTTCCCAAACGCTCTTAAATGAAGGGTCGATATCTGAGTCCATGGCAGATTTCCTCCCATAACCACGTCGCTAACTTTTCCCTGTGCTGCCTCTGAAAGGGTCCATTTCTACGGCCTCAGAAAGTTAGTTTTGTGCATCAGAACACCTCTAAATTGATGAGATATCTTACATCAGTAAAAATTTCCTCTAATCCTACTTACTCCCAAGTCTGATGAGAGAAATGACCTCCAGCTCCCTAGTGATAACGCTCCACATTGTTTTCATCTAATCGACATGTTTCTAGCTGTTGTGTTTCAGTGACATGTAGCATGTGGGGGGAACTCTGAGGGTTGGCATCGTTCACAGCAATACAGAATCTGTTTCTAATCCTCACCTGAGGATATTTTTCTATGTATTATCAGATAGAGTGAGAGGGAGAAAAAGCGAGGAAGAGAAACATCGATATGAGAGAGACACACCGACTGGCTGCCTCCCACACAATCCAACCAGGGCCGGGGACAAACTGCAACCGAGGTACGTGCCCTTGACTGGAATCAAACCCTTGACTCGTTGGTCCAAGGGCCGATGCTTTAACCACTGAGCCAAACTGGCCAGGGCAGCAATATAGAATTTTTTACAGAAGCTTGATGGGTTAGGACCTTTCCAACCTACCTCCCCACTAAAAATAATCAAGTCTCTGCAGTTTACCTCCAGGGGCCTTGAATATCAAATAAGACAGGTCTCATCATTACTAAACATCAAGCTTGATCTGGTTTCTGATTCAGACAGTAAGTTGTCTATAGGCGGGACCTTGAAGGAAACCGCGGATCTCACTGGGGACTATTGGTAAGGAAGCTGTGCCCCACAGCCAAAAAGTCCTTTAAATCCTAGAAACAACAACAACAAAAATAAACAAATATTGCCAAATGACCAGGAGCAGGAGACCTGTGAGGGGGTCACCTGCTCAGAATAGAAACATAAGGGATGGTTCTTGTCATTTGCCATTATAGCACATTTATTTCTCACATGTGGATTATAGTTGGGTGTGTGTGTGTGTTTCTTTCTGTTTCCTACCTGGGATCTGGGCCTCACACTATATCAAAGTTCACATTACCCTATTTATGAAATTATTTATTATATCATTTCTAAGAGCCGACGTTCTGTGAGACAGGTACTGATATAGCACTTAGGAGCTACAGAGGTTGTAGACATTACTAAGCACCAATTCTTCTGGGAAGGCTCTCAAAATATGCCAGCCCCATAGGTTTTCTGTCAGTGGGATTTTCCAGATAGCTTCTGTGTTCTCCTGGGAAGGTGGTGCAAAATAAAAAGCCGGAATAGCTTTGAGTCCTCTAGGACACTCACATTGTTCTTTTTCTTTGTAGATTTATGTTGTGGAAAATAAACCTGTTGTCTATAGAGAATAAAATGAATGGAGTGTTTTGGGAAATTATCTAGCTATTTTCTATCCTCATCTTCTTTTACAAGAATATTCGATCTTGCCCTGGCCAGTTTGGCTCAGTGGTTAGAGTGTCAGCCTGCGGTCCAGAGACACCCGGGTTTGGTTCCCGCTAAGGGCGCATACCTCAGTTGCAGTTTGTCCCAGGCCCTGGTTGGTTGTGCGGGTGGCAACCACTCGATGTGTCCCTTCACATCGATGTTTCTCTCTCTCTCTCTCTTCCTCTCTCTCCCTCCCACTCTGTCTGAACAAAAAATGAAAAAATGTCCTTGGGTGAGGATTAAAAAAAAAAGAATATTCAATCTTACATGTGGTTAAATAATTTTTTTATCTGGTTCTTCATCATCAGTTTGAAAAAATTCAGCCCATCAAAACTTTTTAAAAAAAAAAAAACTGATTTTTTTCTTAATGCTCTTAGAAGGAAGCAGTTTAATTGATAGATATTTTCAAGCTACTAGGAAAATAAAAAGAAAACGAAGAAAGCAGAAGAACGTAAAAATGAGGACAGGATAGCAAGTAATCTCAACAATTTTTTTTTTTTTAATAAGCCATAGTAAACACACCATAAAATCCTGAGGAAAAACCATGTAGGAAGGCCTTGCTTGGTTGGGATTCTACGAGTTACTTGAAGTGACAAAGCATAAGGCCTGGATTAAAATTCCATGTTAGGCCATGAGAGAAAAGTTAGGGATGCAGCTGTCAGAAGAGGTTACAAGTGGTAACAAACAGCCCGCAGGCACAGCCCCTAACTCAGCGAGTTGATTTCTCACTCGTATATGTTTGGTGTGGCCCGGCCCGAGGCCCGACTCACTGTGGTCACTCAGGGGCTCGGGCTGATGGAAACTCTTTCTGCATTTGCTTCCACGACCATCACTACAGTGGGCAGCTGATACGGCAAACTGAGTCGTAGCTTCATGAAATTCTTCCGAAAAGTAGTTCCTACCACTCTTAAGACTTGCTTTGGCCATGGAAATGTGAGTCTTAGGGCCATAAGAAACCTCAAAGTATGCACAGAAGAGCAATCCTAGCAAATATGGGAAGGCAGACAACTGGGGGTATGTGGCGAAGTTCCCAGGACCACTGCTGTTATCTGAAATGTGAATTTCTGGTTGTGGCAATCAGATTAGATTGAAGGAAATTCAGTTCATTTTTTTCTACCATTGATTTAAAAATGTCTAAATTTATTTTATGAGAGAGAACTTATTTTATATTCCTGATTTTCAAAATGATAATAATAATTACTGTTTTGTGTTTTTTTGTTTGTTTGTTTTGTTTTTTGTTTTAGAAAAAAAACATGTGTTATATGCCAGACACTATGGTTTGGTTTTTGCATATTGTTGCAGTTAACTTGACTATAAACTCTATTTTCTTTTCTTTTTTTCCTTTATTGATTTTAGAGAGAGAAGAAGGCAGAAGGAGAGAGAGACAGAAACATTGATGAGAGAGAACATCGATGGGCTGCCTCCTGCATGACCCCCACTGGGAACTGAGCCCACAACCTGGGCATGTGCCCTGACTGGGAATTGAACCAGTGACCTCTCGGTGCATGGGTCAACGCTCAGCCACTGACCTACACTGCTGGGCTATAAACTGCATTTAAAAAAGGGAAACAATTGCCGGGCTGGTGGGCTCAGTAGGTTGAGCGTCATCCCATGGACTGAGAGGTCCTGGTTTGATCCCCGGTCAGGCCCCATGCCCTGGTTGTGGGTTTGATCCCCAGTAGGGGGCGTGCAGGAGGCCGCCAACCGATGTTTCTCTCTCACCTCAATGTTTCTAGCTCTCTCTCCCTTCCTCTTTCTCTTAAAAAATGAATAAAAACATATATTAAAAAAAAAAAGAAAGAGCGAGAGCGAGACAATGACTGTGAGAATGAGAATGGAGCTCTGTTTCTAAAACCAACGTTTCCTCTGCCCTGTTAGCACCTTTCAGTAAGTGAAGAATAGGCTGATAGTCCTCTTAGTGGCACAAAATAAAAAGAGAAGAGAGTAAATGCCACACTTTTAATGAGACTGAAATACTAAAGTTTTGCTGAAATGACGAATAGCAGTTCAACTTGTCAAAACCTAATGTCATCCCTGGCTGATGGTGCCCAGTTGGTTGGGCATCGTCATGTACATTGAAAGGTAGTTGGTTTGATTCCTGGTTGGGGCACATGCCCGGGTTGCAGGCTTCATCCCTGGTGGGGCAGCTGATCATTGTTCCGCTCTCACATCAATGTTTCTCTCTCTCTCTCTCTCTGTCTAAAAATCAATAAAAATAAGAAAAAAAATGTAATCTCAGATATACTTAATATATCCTCTTAGCGCTTATGACACTTTTTGACTTATTGAAGTCACTCAAAAATGTTTGGCTAAGCTTTTGTAATGATTAATAAAACAGTATATTATTTCTAATATTTCCAATAAGTACAGCTTAGATGTTCTACTTTTAGCCTTTTTCTTAATCTGTTTATTTGTTTTTGCACAACAACTAAAGGTACTATTTAATGGAAATCTAAATGGAGAACGTCAGTATTAATAAAGTTCATTTCACAGGTTCATTGAGTTTGATGTGGTTCTCTCCACCTCCTGCTCTCAAGACTACCTGGCAATTTATGATGGTGATGACATCAGTGATCCACTTCTCGGCCAATTCTGTGGTTCCAGGCTTCCACCACATGTGAAAAGCAGCAATAATAGCATGCTCCTGGTGTTCAAGACAGATTCATTTCAAACAGCAAGAGGTTGGATGGTATCTTTCCGGCAGACGTTGGGTAAGAATTCGGGACGTGTCAATCTATTTTTCTTGACTGTTACTTTTTGCTTTATTTAATTTTTTTTCGCCTGACTAAAGTTGCTTTTCATTTAAGTTTAGAGGAATATGTCACATAAAGTTTTGGTTTTTTAATATTACATATAATATATTCCGATTTTTTTTTTAAATCACTTAACAAATGTACTTCTCTAGTATACTAAGGTAAAGTCTGTCTACACAACCATCGCAAATAAGACCTGAGCCTTATTTTATTATCCATGGAAATTGTGGCTGTTGAGCCTAAAGGCAATTCAAGGCCAGATCAAGAAAGTAGTCCCATAGCCTGTATTAACTTTATCCTTAAAATGGCTAAGAGTCTTGGAGAATTTTAAGTGAAGATTGAATGACCAAATGACTTTTGGAAAGATCAGAGGGGTATCAATGTGGAGCAGGCACAGGGGACCCTATGACCTGAGAAGAAAGAAGCTGGTCATAGAATTCTGGATGGGAAATGTTGAAGGTTCAAACTAACGCAGCAGGAATGGAAACTGAAGAAGGAGCAGAGTTCGCAGAGGTATTGAGAAGGTAGATTACAGGGGAACTACTGTGCTTGGAACTTGATATATTACATGAGGACATGCGCTGTTGCTGACTTTTTATAAGTAACCTATGGGATAGTGGTACCTTAGGGGACTAAGACTTAGGGAGGAAATATTGTATTTAGTTTGGAGCATTGGGGTTGGAGGGCCTGTGAGATCATCTAAATGAAGAAATACAGGAGGAAGTTGAAGTTTTAGAAACAATTTGGGGTGGAAGTAATGATCTGGGCCCTATCTAGAGGTAAAAGGAAAAGCTAAATGGGCAGATAAATAAAAAATAGCACCCATTTATTCCCACTGCATGTGAGAAATAATTATCTCTGTAAAATTAACGAAGAACTTTAAATCATACAAGGCAGTTAATCAATCCTCTATTTACCTATACTCAGCATCAGCGGCACAATCCAAGGTCATATATATTTGACTCTGGAAAACATTTTGATTCTTCCATTTGAATAGAGATGTGATTAGTGTTTTGAAAATGAACAGCTCACCAAACAAATCACATATTCTGTGAAGTATCAGAGAAACCTGGGAAACTTTCTGCAATGGGAATCCTAACTCACTGCTCAAACTTTTTCTTTCTCTTTACCCCATGCTGTGGATAACCTTCATGCCTCTGATTCATAGCAGAGCTTAGCTTAAACGTCTTTGCATTTGGCATGATTACTTTGTGTGTGCGTATTTCTTGAGGGAAGCAATTAGACCTTGTGTTTTGAAGGCTTCCCAATAAGCCACAGACATCGTGACAAATCACATCAGAAAATCCCTTCACCCCTGCCCTACTTAGCTGTATCAGCAATAACGGGAAAGCAAGTCTCAGGGGCAGACAGAGAGTGTCACCTTAATGGCATTGCCTAAGAGAAGTGATGCCCGAAACACACGAGGCTGTTTTGAAAGAAAAATTAATTTCCCCTTGGAGATCGTTTTTGTGCAAAAGAACGCACATACTCTTGCCTTTAGCACAGACTTGAAAATCGAATGGCATATATTTGCATTTGCTCTTGTTCCTTGCTTTCCGATGGTTTTCCTTTTCCCTCATATTTTCCCACGTGCTCACTGAAACAGCCTCAGCGCACTGCACACGTCCTCATCTGCGTGAGGCTGGCCAGGTCGACGGTGTTCTCTAGCCTCTTTCAATTACTGTGTTTTTCTGGGCTATAAAGAAGACACTTTTGGACTTATTGTGCTTTCCACTGAAGAGCACGGGAGAAAAATCTTACGCTGTCAGAGGCACTGTTTCTCCCTGAGCATGGGACACTTTCAGCAATTACTATCCCCCCCGTCACGGTGAAAGCAAAGGCTTGAGAGTGGGGAGCAGAAATGGAGTTCGTTACATACAGCACTGTGCTGCCCCGCATTTCGTGATGATGATGTTTACCTCTATTTCATCTTCACACACCATCAACCACTTGGAAAGATTCAGACATTCTATGTCATTTTCAGTGGTAATTTTTTTTTTCTTTATTGATTTTAGAGAGAAAGGAAGGGAGAAAGAGAGAGAGAGAAACACTGATGAGAGAGAACATCGACTGGCCACCTCCTGCATGCCCCCCACTGGCGATCTGGCCCACAACCTGGGCTTGTGCCCTGATCGGGAATTGAACTGGCGACCTCTTGGTGCACGGGTGGATGCTCAATCACTGAGCCACACCAGACGGGCATTCAGCGGTAATTTTTTATTGAAAACCTAAGTGTCATTTTGTTGAATTGTATGGTGTCACAAAGCTCTCAAGACCACACATACAAATTGACGGGTCATTTTGCGTAACTACAGTCTCGTTTTGGTTGTTGTCTGTGGTGAGGAGAAGGTGAGGAGGAAGAAGAGTAGATGAATTCTGGGGTTTATGAAATCTTTTAGTTACAGATCTGGATAAAAGTCCTAGACTTGGCTAATAGGATGCACCCTTCACATTCGTCTCATCCATTTAAAACTACCCTGTGTTTCCTGTAAAGAGAAGAAAGCAACTTTGTGGACCAAACAGTGGGGTTTTGTTTCCAACACTGTCGATTCCACATGGAAAACAGTATCTTCACAGAGTAAATCATCAGTATGAAGAGGAGACCGTTTTAGTCTGCAACATCTCAGTTAGGTTTACTGTAATTAAAACACTAAAGTTTTGCCCTGGCCGGTTTGGCTCAGCGGTTAGAGCGTCCGCCTGTGGTCCAGAGAGACCCGGGTTCGGTTCCCGCTAAGGGCACGTACCTCGGTTGCAGTTTGTCCCCGGCCCTGGTTGGGTTGTGCGGGTGGCAGCCACTCGATGTGTCCCTTTCACATCGATGTTTCCCTCTCTCTCTCTTCCTCTCTCTCCCTCCCACTCTGTCTGTACAAAAAATGGAAAAATGTCCTCGGATGAGGATAAAAAAAAAAAAAAAAAAACAAAAAAAAACACTAAAGTTTTGCAGTTTTATTATTTAGATTACACACTTGGCGGTACTTTATAAACATCTGCTTTACTTTTGCAGAAATCAGTAAAGAGCCAGCTCCCATAATTATGGGATTATTAGGTAAATGTCTCCTTGTGCATGTGTTATATTTGCATTGCTAATGGGTCTGAACACATTTGGGGCAGATATCCTCAAGTTTGTTGTTAAGAACTAAATATGTAGTGGAATTGGGTCTGTTCATGGAGCGGCAGCTGTGGGGGCCCACACGGTGGGGCCAGGGCGGGCAAAGCAGAGCAGGTGCTGCGCAGGAGCTGACCCCTGACCGCAGCGGCAGTCTTCCTCCCCCTGGCTCCCTGCACTCAGACACGGCATGAATAATTGATCCCCGATGACTGATAACCAGCAAAATGATCATGCTGGGCCTTAGGGATGTGTGAAACCCTGGAATTATCTGCAAATCTGAGCATTTTCCTCCAGAGAGTGCATCGCTTTCATCTGATTGTTAATGATGCCTCTGATCTCATCAAGTTTAAAAGCCATCGATCCGGTGAGTTTGGCTGAAGCGGGCATGCTCTGCAGTGCAGAATTGACCCTCACAAGTACCCTTTACTCTATGAACTTCTGCTAGTTGAGTTTCTGCGCCTCCTTTACCACAGGGTCGGCTCTGGCATGACCTTGCTCACCTGCATCACTCACGAAGCATCTCAGATCGACAAGCGTGTTTTTAAACCAGCCAAGCCCCCACGTCCTCTTACTGTTCTGGTCTCGTGACACAGTGATGCTTCAGTTAGCCTATTCGACGTGCTCATCACATTAGACACCAAACTGGTAGATAGGTTAGATCGAGGACTTACAGTGCATTTATTTACTGTGTAGTGCCACAATCATTTGTAAAGCAATGCATTGTGTAACACTTTGGCAAAATATCAGGGTCAAAATCTGAACGTGGCCCAATTAGGTATGAAGTTTGCCGGCATTTGGATCAGTGAGTTGCCCGGGAGAGTGTGATGTGTAACCCCTTTAGGATGACATGTCCTGGAAGGGAAGGGCGTTGCCCTGGAGAAGATGCTATTAGGGACAAGGGGATATCAGAGACTAGAGGTTCACATCACCTAAGGCTGCAAGTCCTGGACACATGATGAACACTCCTGGCCCCTGCTGCCTACAGCCCCCATGCTGAGGATGAGGACACTGTCTGTCTGTCTTCATCCAGAGTAGTTGTCATGTAGAGAAGGAGTCAGGAGGCCTTAGGTCAGACTCACAGACCTTTGCTACAAAAATAAGGCAAAAATACCAAAGTGCACGTTTAACAAGGACAAAGCAAACCACGGTCCACGAGGCGAGAACACGCCAGGTTGGAAGAGCTGTGGACCAGAAAGCAGGTGGCCAGAACCCAGTTGCTCGTTACGTCATCGCCTGGTGCGATGCTTCAGAAAAGTCCTCCAATAGTTCTGAGCTCAATTTTGCCCACTAAAAAAAGATCACTTTGAAGTATTACCACTTTCTATCTTTTAAGAATGTGATGGGGATGAAGTAGGCAATTCCGGTAAAGTACTGTACATGTCAAAGAGAAAGACTGTTTGTATTAGAAAGTAATAATGAAGTCCTGGCTTTCCACGGGGCTCCATGACCCACCCCACCTTATCTCTGAAGTGGGGGAGGAGGTGCTGGGTCATTATTATCAACAGCACCACTTCATGGGACAATGATTTCTGGTTCTTACTCATTTTACAATGAAATCTTACCAGCAAACCCTAAAGCATGTTTTATAACTTAAATCGGAAATCAAAAGCTAAATTCCAATAAATTCTAAGGCCTTGCAGAGGCCTAGCACAAAATTGTCACTGTGGCAACATTGGCTGTATGGACAAAATCAAGAATACGTGAATAAATTGTGCCTAGTTCATAACTGCATTATATTACACGTAGTATATTCAACATGTCATACATGATATTATATCTAGATAGTCTTCACTCTCAAAATGCAATTACGGTTCACATAGTTCAGCTATTGCCTGGCATAGGAAATTGG